CTCTGAGGCGGCTCTGCTCCTGCCTCGAATGGCATTCGCGAGGGAGTAGTGGCCGCGAGGAGCCGAAGCAACGGCGATGGGCATGGCGACGGGTGGGTTGGACGTGGGCGAGGCAGCAGGAAACAGCCGGGGATTCGTAAAGTTTGACGTGTTCCAGAAAGTTTACGGGCTCATGGCGGTGAATTGGGACGGTTGCGGCGTTGTGCTGTCAGGCGGGCCGTTGTGCAGCAGGCAGTGAACGGGCAAAGGTGCAGTATACTCCAGTCGGGCGCGCGAAGACGTCACAAACGAGGCTGTGGTACCGGAAGTGAACGGCAGCCGCTCAGAGGACGCGGGGGAGGGCAAAGCGAGTGGAATCTGCTGCGACAGGATCGGGCAGTAAGTTCAGTAGCGACTGGCAGGCCTTGGGTTAGAGATTCCGCGCTCACTGACGCCGCTGGGGGCAGGTTGAGGGCTATTACTTTGACGCTTTCGCAAGCGGACGAACTGGGGCTAGCAGGGGTCGTCGCCTGCGCAGATCGCGTCGGAGCGATAATAATTCTATATTAAAAACGGGCGTATTCTTGGTATCATTTGCCTTTCGTCTACTGACCCGCGCCGCGCCGTTTCTTTACATTTCCACGCTGGGAGCAGTACGAGCTCTAGCCCGCCACCCACCGCCAGCATGACGCCTTTCGGATCGTCGCAGCTGGCATGCCTGCCTGTGTGACGGTGCTGCGCATCTGATGCAGCGACACGGTCGGGGCAAGATGCGTCTGCTGCGCGGTGGGCCCCCGGCGAACCAACTTGTTTTTTCGCGACGTGAACTGTGAACACTGCAATCTCTCGCTGCCGTAATCTCCTGGCCGGTCCCTAGACATACCGCAGACCCCAGTAGCTTACCTGGGTACCGCCTCGTATAACGGCTCGACTCTCATGACTTATCTTGACGTACTGCTTTCTGCTCTGCAGTATGAGACCGGTACGGTTGACTACTGTGGACAGGTGCTAGTGCCTCAGGGTAAACCTCTCAACCGAAAAAAGTCCATGGCACGCATGGCACTAGGACGTCGGTATGCAAAGCCGCAGATGCAGATGGTGCGATAGGCGACCGTGCCTGCAGCTACTGGGGCAGACTCCAATTGCGAGGCTCCTTCTGACCCACGCGTATCCTGTGCTTTGTCCGAAGTTCCGAACCGTGAGCATTGTCGGAACGGGACATGCCAGCCTGACGATTACTGTGTAGTGCACAGCTGAGTGCGCAGCCGGGCTTATCTGAGGGGCCACGGTCGCTGCGGTCGCGTGTGCATGTGTGTAGCGATCATCATTCCGCGCATGCCTGTCGGAACAGCGTGCATCAAGCCGGTCAGAATGCGACGCGTCGTGTGTGAATGTCCTCTGAGGTAGGCATAGATGCGACATTCAGTCTCTCGTTACAGCCTGGCACGTAAAAGCAATTGGGCTGCTGCCAGAACCTCATGACGATCCTGGCACCCCACAAATCCCTCAATCCCTAACCCCTCGAGCACCCCTCTCCTGAACGTACGCCAAGTGGTAGATTGCTTGCTTCTCAAACAGCAATGCACATGCACAAAAAGTACACAGTTCAACAGCTGCGAGCCCCTCTTAGTTCCCAGAGCATCAGCACGAGCACGGATGCCAGACCCTGAGGCGGCTAGTTGGAGAACTCCCACGTCTCATGTACTTGTAGATCACGGTCCGCAACGAGTCAAAAAGAATCATATCCGCGAGCAGCTTAGTTCACCTTGTTGAGACAAAGACCGTGGTTTCGAACCAAAGCACTCACTCAACTAAGCTTAGCATCGATAGTCTCAACTTTATCTGCTCGTGTACCCCCACGTTGAACTCGAGGTCATAGTCACATCACGTGATTCACATATGCCCGAACAGAGCTCCTGTTGGCTTCATCGCTCAATGGTATTGACACAGTCGCTAGTGTTTTGATACATGATCTCCCTCACCCAGCAATGCTCCTCTAATGGGTGGCACCGGCGGTGGTAATGCTCTCGTCCTCCTCCTCGAACCAGTCCTCTTGCGGGAGCACGGCGTCGTCCTCGCCCTGAGCGCCCTCAACGTCAACTGCCTGTGTCTCGTATGACTTCAACTCGTTCGCAATGTCGGTCTCCTCGGGGGATGCGGGGGCCTTGGGGACGGTGAATTTCTGGACGTGGGCCTCAGCATCGGATGCCTTGACTTCGGGGACCTTGTAGGCCTTGAGCTCGCGGAGGTAGAGGTCCTGCACTAGGTCGGCTACGGCACCAATTGGGTCAGTACTGTCGTGTCTTCAAGCATTCGGGATGAATCACCTGATCGGACGGCCGAGGGAGTGATGAAAGTGCGGCGAGCGACAAAGGCAGGTTGCTGCCGGGCAACGCGGACGAGCGCCTGGCGCTGTGGCAGGTCAGTACGTGTCCAGATTCCACCAGCAGTAGGAGCGTACCGAGGCCCTGATGGATTGCGCGATCATTGTGTAGGTGTAGTGACGTGGGGAAGCTGGCAATGGGAGCTACAGTGAAGGTCGATGTTGGGGAAAAACCGTGGACCGCCGCAGCTTGAGCCGCCACCCGAAACGGCTTAGCGGCGTGCCAAGCCCAGCAATGGCTGCCTGCGCGCCGAACTACAAGTTTGTCGTCGCAGACTTTCCTTCAGTCTCGCAGCCTGTCTCATACCACCGCACTCGCTCATCCTGCTCCAGCCCGGACGCAGCCTACAAGTGTGTCGGTCGACCGCGCGCAATAGCTAGATAACGAAATACACTCTATAGCCCGTCCGCAACTGCTCGAAGATGTCGTACGCCCCCGATGGCCGTCTGCTGTCGCCTGGCGAGGTGTATGAAGCCGCGCCCACACTCGTGAAAGAAGACGAGTGGCAGGAAGACCTGAACGTTGCCATGATCTGCCCCGACTGCAAAGAAAACCCTCCCAATCTGGTCGAAGAGTTCAGCGCCGGCGACACCATCTGCGGTTCCTGCGGTCGCGTACTCGCAGAGAGGACTATAGACACGCGTTCCGAGTGGCGCACCTTTTCCAACGACGGCAAGTACTTGCCTGCTTGGAGGAAATGCAAGTGACACTCATGCTAACACTGCGTCCTGTATCTAGATCAAGGAAACGACGACCCCTCTCGTATCGGAGACGCCGCGAACCCCCTGCTACACGGCTCTCAGCTGCAGACTGAGATCAGTTTCGGTGACGGCGGTATGAGGTCTAGGGACTTGAGCCGCGCGCTTAACAAGACCAACCACGACAAGGTCAACAAGGCGCTGCAGGCTGCCTATGGACAGATCTCAGCGCTCTGCGATTCACAGAATATCAGCCGCCCGACCGCCGAGACGGCCAAGATGCTGTTCAAGATGACCGACGACGCAAAACTCTTCAAGGGCAAATCGCAAGACGCTATCATCGCCGGGTGCATCTTCATAGCCTGCAGAAAGCACGACCAGCAGCGCAGTTTCCGCGAGATCTTCAAGATGACCAACGTGAGCAAGAAGGAAGTTGGCCGTACGTTCAAGGTGCTCGAGGCCTTTATACAAAAGTCCCAGAATAACGGGCCGTCAGTTGCAGGAAACGGTGCCGTCATCGACACTGTCAACCTTCTCAACCAGAAAGGAGGTACCACAGCCACCAGCGCCGCCAGTCTTATGCCCCGTGCCTGCGCCAAACTTGCCCTCGGAACACAAGTCCAGATGGTCGCAGAAGAGTGCGCGGATCAGGTCGCCCACTACGGAGTTGCAGCCGGACGCTCCCCCCTCTCTATCGCCGGCGCCTGTCTCTACCTCGTCTCCCACCTTATGGGTCAGCCCAAATCGCCAAAGGAGATTGGTTTGGCTGTCGAGGTCAGCGACGGCACGATCCGCACTGCCTACAAGCTCATGCACTTGGAGCAGGACAAGCTCATCAAGGAGGAATGGATCGCCAAGGGCGGCGACCGCTCCAGGATTCCGCAAGCTTGATTATTGTTATTTTTTTACCATCTTATTCTTTTCGCTCAAGTATGCATTTACACGGTACGGCATTGCAACGGAGTTGACGAAATTGGGGCTTGATTATCAGTTTTGCAAGCACGTTTTCCACATTTCATTCAAGGGAAAAAAATGTCGCGGGGTCTACATTGACCTTAGGTCTTCTCTTTTGCTCATTATCGTCCTAATGTAGGCTTCAGGCCTGTCTAGTTTCTTCCTTGTATGAGATGCCACCTCAAATTGCTTTGGCAGCAACACATGATACCCAATAGATAGGAAGACATCGAAAAAATTGAAATGGCGTTGGTTTGAAGAAACTGTCCCAAAAGTCTACATTGCTCTGAGGATTGTACAAACGCCTGATTCTATGCTAACGGAGACTGTAGTAGACCTCTTCGGTTTTCCTCCTTGCATGAGTTTTTTCCCGTTGTGCTGAAGCGGCCTTTGTAGTTTGGTACCAGGGACTACCAGCGAGCCCTGTTGAACGCACATTACCAGTATATCGTCCCAACGACAACGGCGTCTGTTCCGCGACCGCGACTTCCAAATTACCACCCAGACGGCAACATGCTCTCGGTCTGTGTGAGGAGAATAAGATTGAAGATACTGTATCCCAGACTCAGGAAGAGCATTCCAACAGATGAGGTCGTCAACTTCAAAACTGTCTGTTCGATTGCGAGCACGAAGTGTCTGAGACCTCATATGATACCCAAGCAAGAGTGAACGCACGTGGTGTTCGTTCCTACCCCTCCGGAGAAACCCGATCAACACACCTCCAGCATCTCGTGAAGCCGTAATGGATGCTCCCCCAACGCCCCTTCATTACCATGAGACCCTGAGAAGGGCCCAACGAAGAAGATGACCAGAAATTAAGGGTGAATCGCTCTTCCATAAAACCACACATGTCCCTTTCCTCTTTCCTGTAAAGTTCTCATCTCGTTCATCCTCAAGCTTATTGGGATTTACTCCCAATTTGCTCTTCTCAGAGCCTCCTACCTCATTTCATCCCACCTTATCTCATCCACGAAACAATCCAACCATGAAGTTTACCCTCTTCATCCTCGCGACGCTCCTGAGCGTCACCTTCCTCGGCACGTCAGCCAAATACGTCAAATTCATCAACCACTGCCCGTACAACGTCTACTTCTGGGCCGTCGGCCCCCCAGCCTCGCACATCGATGGCGGCGACTCCTTCCGCAGCATGGTACCCGGCAACGGCGGCTCCGTCATTCATCCCATGGTCGACACGGAGAGATTCGGCGGCGGTCTCTCGTTGAAGATCAGGGATCTGGATTACTATACTCCTGGGCCTGCAGGCATCATTCAGGTCGAGTATAATCTTGAGGAATCCAAGGGAAAGATGTGGTATGACCTTAGTGCTGTGGATTGTGATTTGCACGCTGGGCCAGCAAACCCGAAGTATTGTCGTATGTATTTCCCCTTCATTGAGAGAGGACATGTAGACTAACGGTGTTGTCAGCACTCATTCGAGGTGGCGTGAAACTTTACATCAACCCAGTACCCAACAAGAAAGCCTGCCCAACTGCGTACTGCAATGAAGAGAAGTGTGTGAACACTTATCTTAGCCCAGGCGGGTTCGCGAATGAGCCAAGCCTCATGTGCTGGGCTGGTGCTGATATCTTTGTCGAGACTTGTAAGTTTACTGGCATGGCATGTTTGAACGTTCGGACAGTTACTGATGATCAATCGCAGGTACCGACGGCCCAGGCGTCCAGACATTCTTTGGCAAGAAGCCACAGACTGGTGATACCGTTCACCAAGCCATTCCCGCACCGGTTATCCAGCCTCCTGTCGTCCAGCCTCCTGTCGTCCAGCCTCCTGTCATCGCTCCCAATGGCATGATCATCTCTCCAAATGGTCAATGTAAGTCTTTCACCAGCCTACCTCATCCTGAACACATCACTAACCACATTCTGACAGGCGGCGGCACAACTGGCTTCACCTGCAACGGCTCTCCGAAAGGCCCCTGCTGCAGCCCCTACGGCTACTGTGGCGACACAGCCGCTCACTGCAACCCTGGATGTCTCCCTTCCTTCGGCTACTGCCATGATATATGGAATCTGCCTCCGATTGGCCGCCGTGCTGCGGCCCCTGAGCCTTTCACCTATGGTCCGGCTCATGAGTCGTCTATCATCACCTCCCAGCTTTCCACCGTCGCCCCCGAGCCTTCCATTGTTACCAAGGTTGCAAACGTCTTCACTTCGACCACCACCGCGACCGAGACCGAAGTCGATTGTGACACGGTCAAGCATACCGTTACGAAGGTTGTGAAGGCCACGAGGAAGCCCGGTTCGCAGTTTACGCCTCCGCCGCTGAGGAGAAGGTTTGCGGCCATGTAGGTAACAGCTGATGATATGGCTTGCCTCAGATCCTTCCACACCTTCATTTAGGGATTTGAGGTTTTGCAAGCTTGTTTACATGGAAGCCGATCCTCGGTATGACTAGTTCGGACGTGGGTGGGCATGGCTGGAAGAGCTACGGAGGGTCGGGTACTTCCCAAGGCGTTGGAAGGCGCTTTATACCCCTCTGAGCGATTTGGCGCTTCTTTACTAGATAGATGGAATGAAAAATGTCGTTGAGAACTGCTGTCCTTGGTGCATTGTGAGATGTGTGTGATGATTGCGTGGGCACTTGGTGTTGCGACGATCGAATCTTCGGAAGTCGCGCGATAAATCATAGCTCTTTCATAGTACCCCCAGTTGTCCAAGATTTGAATGAATTACCCAAGTCGTGATGCTCTGGGCGTTGATGGTGGTGTTGCCTGCACGCCCAAGTGAATGGACGGGGCACTAGCGCGCCACACCCCTGCTCGCCTAGCTAGCGCACTTTGCAAAATTGCCCACCGTTCGCACCAGCTCTCACGCATCGCCAGCGACAACTCCATCTCCGAACGCCCAACCCAGCTCTTCCGCACACCGAACGACCGACTCCCGTCGAACTTCACAACCGCACAAAATGGACTCTGCTAAGGCCCCCGTCAACCTCGTCAAGGTCACCCGTGTCCTTGGCCGAACCGGTACGCGAACTTTCCGAAGACCCCGAACTTTTCTGCGAGACGAGCGCATACAACAGTTGGGGGATGCACAACGTGAGAGAATGGCAGGCTGACGGATAACAACAGGCTCCCGTGGTGGTGTCACCCAATGCCGCGTCGAGTTCATGAACGACCAGACCCGTTCCATCATCCGCAACGTCAAGGGCCCAGGTACGCACGCTCTACCTGTCTGCTGAACGAAACCCCCGCATACTAACGGAGACATCACAGTCCGCGAGAACGACATTCTCTGCCTGCTCGAGTCCGAGCGTGAGGCCAGGCGTCTGCGATAAGCGCAAGCAAACTCTCGGGGGAAAAGGGAAAGCGGCATTTTCTATTCGGTTACCGGAGTTCTTTGCGAAAGCTATGGGCATCTATACGGACTTCACGAGTATGGACAATATGATGGCGTGGTAGTTGCTCTCTTGCAGCGCTGCGAAGGAGGGGGATGGAGATGATGGATCTGTGGAGACCTACGATTACGACGACATATCAAGAGTCTGGGTTCTCTCCCTGAATGAATCGAAAATCTACCAACTCCCAACGAGCATCGCGTGGATGGTTGTGATATATGTGGCGACTGCCTGCAGGACTTGACTGGAACGTTGGAGTTGCTGAACGGGACTGACTCGATTACAGGCACGCCTTGTGAGCGTTCGACCGGGTTATCGTGTTACTGACACTCGAGCCACTCGGCATGCTTCGTTATGATTCACTTGATGTCCACTTTAGATGATACGCAATACTACGGAATGACGTCGAGGGAACCAATCTGCCAGTTTTACGAGCATATACTTACATGTTGTTAGGTTGAGCAACTCTATACTCACGGCTGTGTAATCTTTATAGTAAACGTCAAAGCACTTCCCGTCTCGCATACACTCGTCACTGCAACGGTATTAGCTTGCTGTGACGCCCGACTGCCTTGACTGCCGGTTCTGCGAGGCCATTCACTGGAGTCGCAAGAGACATGGTTGAAGCGAGTGTGAATCCTCTACGTCCTACCGTCGCTCTTGTGACAGAGGTCCAATTAAGCGTTGACTCTCACTGTTGCTCTTTCTCATACCCCTTGTCCCTACGAGTACAGCAAACGCTCCACCCTCAACACAACCAACTTGCCCAGCTTCTGGCTATCTCCGTACTCTTCGATCGCCATCATGCAGGATAGCGACGCAGCGGAAAGGCTACGTGATCTACTCGCAAGGTCAGGCCCGAAGGCTCCTGTACAACCTACGTTACAGCACACGAAGACCATTACACCTGCACCATCCCCACCCGTAACAGCACAGGCTTGCATGATACCACCCAAGCCTTTAGACTTAGATTACCCACGCGTTAAGGTACCGGGAAGTTCGCAATCGTCAGTATCGGCGGCAACTCCTCCAAGCTCACCTAAATCCATCTTCGGATCAGGCCTCTTCGGCTTTTCGAGATCATCTTCAAAGACAACTGTACCGCGCTCTCTGAAAAATAGTCAGAGTGGAGGCTTCTTCAACTCCTTGTTTCGTCGTAGCACGGCAGACTGTAGTGAAGATGGAGCTAAAGACCACCAGTCAGTAGCTGTAGACTCGACCGAACCGTCATCGTCAGGCTCCTCGTACTGTGTGGTGGGGAGTTCTATGAACATGCTTCCAGGGCTAACATCGATCTTTCACTCTGGCTCGCCTTCCAAAATCGCTGGCGGAAATGCGCTGTTACGCGCTCGTAGTGAAGACAGCATCAGTGCAAAACGCAATGACTTTGAACATCGAAAATACAAAGCCTCCAAGATGAGCAAGACCGCTCCGACTTCACCGAAAACGTTATCGCCACGACCTACCTCGAGACGCATTCGGACAATCAGTTGGGCGGACCAGATCCCAAAGCAAGCCGCAAAGTCACCGCTTCCATCATCTGATCTCGACGTCGGAGAGGCACAAACGAAGCACGGCTCCGAAATCGCACCACTGTTTGCGCAAGAAGACTTCGATAGCTCCCCAAGTAGCTCGACGCTCTCCCTCAACTCGCCTTTCTCTTCTAGCCCACACCTCCCCGCACAACCTCCCACACACCAACCCAACCCCAATAACACTATGCCAACTAGTCTACGCGACCTCTCACCATTCAAGGGAAAACCCCTCTGGGAGCCCGACGACGATGAATGGCCTGAGCTAGACGCTACCCACGTCTCCTCCACTTTCAAAGCGACCTTCAAAGACCCTGGCCAATGCAATCCGCAAAAGCCGACGAACATCAGCACTCTATCCCGCCTCAGCGCCACGCTGACTTCCTTCATCCCCTCCTCCCCCACAAAGCGCGCTTCCGATGCCCTCCTCCGCGAAGAAGAAGACCTCCGAGACAAACTGGAAGAACTGCAAAACACATACTACTCCAACCCAGCCGGCGACATCTGCGACAAAGTCATGACATCTGTCTTCCTGCCTGGCTCCCAGTACTTCCATTACGACCAGAGTAGAGATTCCGTCCGCGCTCCCCATGTCATCGACCTAGAAGCGTATTTCAACACTCAAGACCCGCTGGTCGGAGCGGCGTACCCGCGCCTCAGCGACGCCATCGCCACAATCCTTAGTCACACGAACAGGGGGTGTGTAGAAGCCTTCCTCGATCCGCGAGTGGAGGAGTTCGTGTATAGACGGGAAGTGGAGAGGAATAAAGCAGGCAGTATCTTTGTGATTAGGAGGAACGGGAATGCCGTCATCGTAAGTCCTCCCTGCACATCCGACATAAACAAAGTTTTAACAACTACGACCAACTATCACGAGAACAAGGACAAAGCTAACAAACACAACAGGCAGGCTCCTACCGCAACCTAGGCTTCTCCCTCTCCTGGACCCTCTACGTCAAAGCCGCGATCGGCGCAACAGGCCTATGGTACGACACGTTTGCTTCACCCGTAGCAGGCTCGACACCGATCGTCGATGGCGTACCGGCTTGGGATACTTTTGTACCTATTGGCACTGAAGACCCATCTCTCTCCCTCCAACTATCACCCGAAACCACACAACCCATTACGTCACCCCGCAAGATTGTCCTATCTAGTCCTCGTCCGCAGAAGAAAGATGTGGTAGAGGAAGAAGACGAGATCAGTCCTACGAATGAAAAGTTCGTGCTGTATCAGAGTAGGACGCTTGCGCGGTATTTATTGAGGGATATTTGGGTTAGGCTTGAGGGGCGGTATGAGTGTAAGGCTACGTGGGAGGTTGATGGGGTGGGGAGGGAGGTTAGGCTGAGGAGGGCGTTGGTGGGGTTTGGAGATGAGGATGATGATGAGTAGTAGTATCTTCAAATGTGACATGTTGCAGGGCGAGAGAATAGATCGATGAGTTCGGTGCTGAGAACAAGCGAGCAAGAGGTCGTCGATGAAATACGATGCCGTAGATGAGCCAAGTCCTCACATGAAAAGCATAGTATGGAAAGTATCATGTAAGAGGTAGAAGACTTTTAGAATTCATCGTAATCTATATAAAAAAACCGAAAACCCAGAATCCGTAGACCCAGTTGTATAGTAAACTCGTTGATCTATAAAGGTGATTTGCAAGCTTCGCTATGCAAGGATATAATCCCGAAAAAAAAAAAGACAAACGCCAGGAAAATGCTTATGTACAACAACTCTCAACTCATTCCACCACTTAAGCAATGGCAGACTGGCCACCCTCAAGGTTGACAGGGTTCATCTTGTCGTCAAACTTGAACTTGAAGTCCTCGCCAAGCTCCTTCTTCATAGCGGTGGTGACAGCCTCGAAGACGTTCTTGAAGACACCGAAGGAAGCAGGGTTCTGCTCGTCGTTGTCGCCGCCCTGGAAGACACCGGTGCGGACAAGGCAAGTGTTCCAGCCGTACATGTTACCACCGACGATGTCGGAAGCAGGGTTGTCACCAATCATGTAGATGTTGGCGGGCAGCTTCTCGTCGTTGTGGATGGTCTCCATCCAGGAGGCGATGACCTCGTCGGCGTACTTGTAGGTAGCCAGTTCGGGCTTGCCGTAGACGACACGCTCGAGTTCGACGCCGGTGAGCGACTTGTACATGGCCTCGAGACCAATGCGGAAGGCACCCTGGGACATGCGGGGGAAGGGGTGCTCGGTGGGGCACAGCATATCGCCCTGGGAGAAGTAGATGGGGATGCGCTGGGAGACGGGGTCCTTGGCGCGGGTTCCGAACTTGCCGTTCTCGGACTGGAGGAGATCCATGATGATTTGGATGTCGGTGGCGTAGTCACGGCTGTCGGAGAAGACCATGATGGCCTCGATGTTGACCTTGCTGAAGTCGCGGGGGCGGGAAGTCTTGCGCTCCTCGTCGGTGAAGACACGGTAGGGGGCGATGGTAGGGTCCCAGGCGATGATGTCGTTGGGGACGACGATGTCTTGGAAGCCGTATTGCTCGGCGACCTCACGGCACTTGTAGCCCTCACCACCGACAACGAGGACGGTCTTGTAGTATTCGGCCAAAGCACGCATGGGAGTGTGCGACTGGATGAACTGCTCGGTCGAGATGGGGTTGTGGAGGATCTTGGAGAGCTGGTCGACACGAGCCTGCTCGGGCTTACCGGAACCGTTGGTAAGGAAGATGTGGGGGATCTTGATGCCGAGCTCGTTGTCTCCGTTCAGGATCTCGAGGACGCGCTGACCCTCGGGGATCAGACGGTCACCGTGGACGAGGACACCGTCAATGTCGAAGACGAAAGCCATGTCCTTGGCGGCGCGGACCTTCTCGCCAGCGAGATCTTGAAGCTGGGCAGCGATGATGTCGCGAGATGGCTGGATCGGGGGCATGCCAGGGCGGACAGCGGCACCACGGCCATCGGGGTAGTGAACGGACGAGAGCCTCGACTGCCTCTTGGAACGGGGGATGGGCAGTGAGGTACCGAACGAGTTGCGGGATCCTCTCCTCTCCTTCATGGAAGGCGAGAGGGAGAGGTTGTGCATGTAGCCAGTGGTGTCGGCCATGGCACTTCGGGTTGCTGGGACCTCGACGGTGTTGTCGGTGCCATCTTGTTGAGGGTCAGCTGGGATGGGAAGCTCAGGGGCCTTGTTGGAGGTAGTCTGAGCCTCGTTCTCAACAGCGGAGGGAGACATGATGATGGTGGTTGAAGTTGGTATAAGAATGGGGTATCGAGTGAAGAAAGTAGTAGTGTCAGTCTTCTCAGAAGCTGAATGTGATGCTGAAGAAGTGGAGTTGTGATGATGAAAGAGCAGTCTCAGGGTCTTCTGGGGGAGGGGCTATATATCACATCACTCGTCACTCTGACAGGCAGCGACGTCCATGAACCCCAGATGCCATCATCATTCGCCAATCTCTTCTGGAAAGTTTCGCAGGAGCTTTTCGCTATCCCGATTCAGGCCGGTGACACCAACCACGTTCTGGCACGCAGTGCGTTCAACAAGTACCTCTGTACCCACAGCGCGACATCATTACACTGCTGTGGTGGCCGTGCATAGCAGCACTAGTGGAGAAGTTTGCTGAACCAGAGAATGAGAACTGGATACCGTCACCGCCGTATTATCGCCGAAAACTGGGGACCGATAGCAGCGTAGTGCTGTGAGTCGCCACAACACCTGGAATGCGCGTTGTATACCCTTGGCCGAAGCCGTGAAAGCTTAGCGCAGAGCCTCATTTGACCGGAGGCAGAGCGCGGCCGGAAGATAAGGCACGGTACACCGCCTGTCAAAGGCGGTTGGCGTGCATACACCAAGTATGCGACATGTGGGAATCAGTAGAAGCGAGTGTAGCAGAGTGTAGATGGTGCAGGCAGCGTGCAGACAGTCGCGGCGGTACTTGCAGCAGCATGTGGGAGTGACGAAGGATGGGTGGGGCGAGGTAACCGCGGCTCGCCGAATTAGGGCGAAGGCAGCTAGTGATCTGCTTAAACGAGTGGCTGACAACGGCAGAGCCGCACGACTATTGGGACTACATCGTTCCACATTTTCACCTGTACGAAGCTCAGGTCGGCAAAACTTCCGCGTCAGCAATTAAAATGGCAGCGCTCGGCCCGTGCTGTGGACCCTGAGTCCACCGTCGACGTCATCGCTGCTGCTGACGGCCTACTCTGAGGGTCTACGTGAAACTGTTGGATGGGACTATTATGGAGTTTTTTCGCAATGGGACCGATGCGTGCGAGATGCTTCTGCGATCGGAATCTCTCGGTCTGAGGTCACGGCCGGCAGCGTGGCTGGGGAGCTGTCCGAGCAGATGGGCGATGATGAAAGAGCGAAGAGATTTCAGACCAACCAAGGTTACGCTGGATATATGTAGCTTCACAGTCCCAGCACGCGCTGTTGCCGCTGAATAAATCATCTCAAAACTTACTTGACCACTTTCATCTTGACTCTACATTTTCAAGATACCTTTTCAAACTTCAAGAATTACAAACACCGCAAACATGGCTCCCCTCCAGAACGAGAAGACGTTCAAGCTTTCCAATGGCGTCATCATGCCAGCCGTCGGATTCGGCACCTTCGCCAGCGAGGGCGCATCGGGCGAGACCTACGCCGCCGTAATGACCGCGCTCAAGACCGGCTACCGCCATCTCGACTGCGCATGGTTCTACCAGAACGAGGGCGAAGTTGGCGAGGCCGTCCGCGATTTCCTCAAGGATAACACCAACGTCAAGCGCGAGGACCTTTTCATCGTCACAAAAGTATGGAACCACCTGCACGAGCCCGCGGAGGTCAAGTGGAGTTTTGAGTCTTCGCTGAAGAACCTGGGCGTCGACTACATCGACGCGTTCCTCGTCCACTGGCCCATTGCCGCGGAGAGTGACGACAACCATATGCCCAAGCTGGGCGCCGACGGCAAATACATCATCAAGAAGGAGCTCACCGAGAACCCGGAGCCAACATGGCGCGCCATGGAGGAGATTTACAACTCGGGCAAGGCCAAGGCCATCGGAGTTTCCAACTGGACCATCCCCGGCCTGAAGAAGCTGCTCAGCATCGCCAAGGTCAAGCCCATGATCAACCAGATCGAAGTTCACCCCTTCCTCCCCAACACCGAGCTCGTCAAGTACTGCCAGGAAAACGACATTCTCGTCGCCGCCTACTCGCCGCTCGGCTCCCAGAACCAGGTTCCCAGCACCGGCGAGAAGGTCCGCACCAACCCCAAGCTCAACGAAGTTGCCGAGCGAAGCGGCTACGACCTTGCGCAAGTTCTGCTTGCTTGGGGTCTCCAGCGCGGCTACGTTGTTCTGCCCAAGAGCTCCACCCCTAAGCGCATCGAGAGCAACTGGCTTATTCCCGAGTTGAGCAAGGCCGACTTTGACGCCGTCGAGGAGGTCGCCAATGGACGACACACTCGCTTCGTCAACATGAAGGACACCTTCGGCTACGACGTCTGGCCAGAGGAGACCGACGGTGGTGAGCTCAAGGCATAGAGCGGGGCGATGAGATCACGATGATACGGCATATTTCGATATTTTGTTTTTAGCGATACCAAAAGTCAACAAGAGGCTTATTTAGATCAGCTCATGGAAATGAATCGATCGTGAGATTTACTACATCATATCTTCGCATGTTTGTAGATCATCATGATCGTGAGATCGTGTTCGCGTGATATGACGCGGGTTGTAGGCGTTCCCCCGCACGCCCAGACCAGACCCCGGTGCACTACCATAAGGCCTATACACAAACATAAGTAATCATGGAATCTTCGGGTTGCCCCGCCCAAAATACCTGCGAACCAGTCGCGTCTATTTACAATTGATGTGATGAAGAGATTGGTCATGTCAGGACCAGGCGATCCAACAACCGCAGGTTTTCCTGTTCCCTGCGTGCTTTCCTCGATTCTTCCTTTGGCTGCTCAATGACTGCTTCTTTCGGCAGAACAACATCAGCGAAGTGATCTTTTGTGAACTGCATCACGATCTGCGCTTCAGGAAAGTTCTCCTGCTCCATCAGCTGCCGAGCGGTCCCTAGGCAGAGCTGGACAAGGAAATTCCGTCGACTCCGGGATGCTTCAACGAATCTGATAGCGCCGGCAGGATTCTGGACGAAATGAAGTCCAGGGCCCGTGCTGGGCGTCGAAGGGTGATGTAGGCAGAGCATTGACTCGACTGCTGGACTCCATTCCCCTAGCCACCGTGGTGTTGACAGTAGGAACGACTGATACAACTCGGGTTCGAGCATGTTATCGGTGTTGGAGATGATCCGGTTCACTAGGTGGCCACCCGCAGATCTTAGGATATCGTAAGCTGCTTCGTGTCCGGCATTCTCCACAAGGCGGAAGGCCTGCATGAACATAGCCAGACCGCCCGTTAAGCTGTTGTCTGCCGCAAACACAACCATCTTGGCCAGTAGTTGTTGTCTGAAGGTCGCTATCCGTGCCACGTCCAGCCCAGTCTCCTTGACGCGTTGTTCGTTTGGCCGAATAAACCAGCGCCAGAGCGCGGTGGTCTCGCCTTCAGCCACGAACAGAGCCACCAACTTGTCTAGGAATTTACTGCCACGTCCGGTTTTCAAGATGGACATGTCGAGGAACTGCTTCGAGGTGTCTGAGCCGCTGGTTCGGAGCCATTCGGCGAGTACAGTTGCGGATGATCTGCCATCCTTGAGTGACGAGGTTTGGCCCGTGGTCTTCTCGAGGAGCTCGAGGCACATGGCTGCCTTTGGTAGAGTGGCAGAACCAGCAGCTATCTCATCGACAAACCAGACGATGGGCTCTCTGAGTATGTCGCTAGCAGCAGACCTTGAGCCTCTCCGACGGGGTTTGACCGCAAACAGCGGGTTGGTCAAGATGGAGTCGATGTGCTGCGTCGCTGAGTCATACGAGGACGTCGCGCGGTTCGCGGAGGGGTTGCGCTGGCCATAGCTGATGGTCAACTCTCGCGTGGATTTCTTCGGGTTGCTCTCGGCAGGCGCGAGGGGGTGGGCGTGGTCGAGGTGGGCACGGAAGGAGTTGGTCAGCAGCGAGAGGAGCTGCTGACTCTCGCGCGGGGTGAGGGGCAGCTGCGGGTGGATCTTGGAGGCGAGGGTGCTCAGTACGCGTTTGCTCGCGGAAGACTGCATGGCTGCGTGTTGGTGTCGCAGTCGGGGGCGGCGTCTGATCGGTCGGTGGTGGAGTGAGGCGATGACGAGAGTGGACCAGGCCCGACGGGAGCGCACGTGACAGGTTAACGCGCGCATCACGGCAGGCTGGGACAGGCACTCTTGCTATTCGTAGATCAATTGCCCTTCAGCCCTCCCCTCGCATCTGCACACCCGCCCGCCTGCTCCAGCCCCAGTCAACGCGACCCTGCCGCGTCCTCAGCCATTGGAAGCTCTAGCGCCAAGCCGACGTGGTCGCTTCCTCTAGCTGTTCCCCAACTTTACCTTCCCTCTACATCATCACCTCGCCTGCCCACCAATCCGCCCACATACACACACACCCAATAAGTCCCCCGCGGCTTGCCCACACACCACACACATCCAATGTCTGAAGCACAAACTCGGCCTGCGCGAGGCAGGAGCTCTGCCCGCGGCGGCAGGGCATCATACGGCTCCCGGGGCCCCAGAAAGACCAACGGCGACAGCGCGTCCTCCAACATTGACACATCGGCAGACCAGGGCGAACTGGGCGAGCTTAAGAAGCGCTACCAGTCACAGCTATCCACACTGAAGGAGCTATTCCCCGACTGGACCGACGCCGATCTCGTCCTCGCAATCGAAGAATCTGACGGCGACCTGCAGACCACCATCGAGAAGATCAGTGAGGGTAAGCGACTGCATCCACGACTTACACGCACGTTTTTACATGACTAACCACTGCAGGCGCCGTCTCGCAATTCTCAGAAGTCCCAAAGAAAGCAAAGGACAGGTCCCGCTCCAAGGCCAAGGAGAACGTCCCCCTCGATGGCGCGTCCAGCCTGCGTGGCCGGCCCGACGGAGCCCGTCGTGGAGTCGACAGCGGTCGCGGCGGCCGTGGCGGACGAGGCACTGATCGTGGTCGCGGTGGAATTCGTGGCGGTCGTGGAGGCGCCGCCGGTGGACCTCGTACGGCTGCTGGATCAGTCCCGACTACCGAGTCCGCTGCATGGGACACGCCCACAGTGCCAGAAGAGTCCAAGGAGACCAAACAGGACGACGAGACCGTACACGCGCCTGAAGCGACCCCCGAAGCCATAAAGCCTGTCGTAGAGGCTACCATGACAGCCGCGAAGAAGACTTGGGCGAGCATGTTTGCTGCACCCAAGCCCGTCCCCGCAGTCCCCAAGGCAGCTCCGAAGCCCGCCGCCGCTGCTGCCCCCGAAGTGTCCTCACAAGTACCCGACGAGACGCCCGCGCACCAAGTTGCCCAAGAGCCCGCTGTGCAAGCAGAAGAACTGCCTATACCCCCAGTTGCAGATGAGGCTGTCCAGACACCGCCCATCACCGCCGAAGATACGTCCAAGATGACGCCGGACAAGAGTGTGGATGGTGCCCCTGACGTCACCCTCACACCCTCCGGAGATCAACTTACGCAAGAGAATGTTGAGCACCTGCCCGACACGTCCATCCCACCCAAGACGGAGACAGCTTTCAGCACTGTCGCAAGCTCGAAGGATGTTGGAAGTGCTGTAGCGACCCCCTTGAACGGTCCTACACAGGCACCCATCGGTCGCCCCGCTATCGGAGGATTCCAAACGACCGCATTGAAAGCGACTTCTGGAACCCCGAACCGAAGCGCAAGCTACCAGAGGAGGTTGATGGAGCAGCAGGAGGCCGTGGTCATGCCCGGAGACCGCGCCGTGGACAGGGCAGCAGTCCAATTCGGTAGCATGGGATTGGGCGACGGCTCGGATCCAGACGTCGACGAAGACAGGGAAGAGGCGGAGACGAGGACACAGCCGCCCCAGCACTCTCCCGTCGCGCAGCCCAGGGCTTCTCTACCTCCCGCTCCCCGCCAAGCATCTCAAGATGCTCCCCAACAGGAGGCCGCTCCTACACCAAAGCAGGCCCCTGGACTGCCACCTGTGCCCCAACACCAGCCCGGCCTACAGCAGTCTCCCTCGAACCCGCTTGCATCCCAGGCTATGCAGAACCAAGGATCTCAGTCGAACCAGCCATACAACCAGTTTGCTAGGTATGGTCAGTCAGAGGCCTCCGCCCCACCGCAGAAGCCATACGATCCATTCGGCCAGCAGATCCCACAGTCGAACCACTCGCAATCGCAAAACTACGACTACCCCGGCCAACAAAGCCAGGCCCCGTCCCAGCCTGGTGCCTTCTCGTCTGCCCCAGACGGTTACCCCTCCAACTACCTCACTGCCGAACAACGCGCGCAATACCAGAACTACTATGGAAGTTACGGTCAGCCCATCGCACAAAGCCAGCAGGAAGCTGGTTCTGCTCAGCAGCGCACTGGCAGTGCCTTTGGCTCTGGACCTGCTGACTCTGCTTATTCGCAGAGCCAAATCCCACAGGTAAGTGGTCTCTCTAAAGGTCTGAAACAGCTCGCCAAACTCAAAACCGATAATCATGCCAACCAATCTGAACCATCTCATGTGAATGAGAAACTCTGGGCAGAGATGGCACATGACACGGGAAGAGTAAGGACAGCAGCTAAGACAGAACTCTACATCTTCTCGCGTTGTATACTGACAGAATTGTAGACCCAGAGCCGTTACGGCGATGCTCAGAACAGCGGACATAACACTCCCAACCCCGCCGCCATGGCTGGCCAACAAGGACATGCCGCTCAAGGCCAGCACGCGCACAACGCGCACAACGCCGGCTACCCATACAGTCACCCGTACTATGGCAGCCCCTACTACGCTAACTACGTGAACCAATTCGGTGGTTACGGTCAGGGAGGAGCCGGCTATGGTTCGTTTGGAAAGGGTGGCATGTACAACCAGCCTCACTACGGCATGTCTCCTCAGGCTTCATTCGACCAGCACTCGTCGTCCCCCGCCAATGCAGGCGGCTTCGGCGCTTCCTCTTTGCATGATCGCGGTAGCGGTATGGGTGCAGGCTTCGGCGACTACGGTCGCTCAGCCTCTGGAGCTTCTCAGAACCCCAGCGCCACTGCCGGCGCTGCTGCATTCGGCGCCATTCCCGATACCATTACCCGACCAGGAAACTTTCACCAGAGTTCCTACGGACAGCAGGGTAGCCAAGGCTTCAACGATGACGCCCTGAAGCCCTCCAACGACTACAAGAGTGGCGGACCCAGCCCAGCGGCTCTTGGTGCTCAGCCTGGTCGTCCCGGCTCTGCCAACCAGAGCACTCCCGGACAGAGCGGTCCCCAACACTCTCAGCAAGGCTACGGCAACTACCCGAGCCACCTCGGCAACAGCCAGTACGGTGGTCTCGGTGGTCTAGGTCACCAGAACTCCGGCAACCACCAGCAGCAGAGTGGCTACGGCAACTACGGCGGCTTTGGCGGAGGATATGGCGGCGGCAGCTACAACCGCGGAGGTTGGGGCGGAAACTACGGCCAGCACTAGGGTCCGTCTTATGCAAATACAGGACGATTGAGAGGCTTGACGCGTTGTTAAGAGGAATATGGCCTAGTCATATCATCATGATGAGCTGGTACGACACGAGGTCATTGTTTTCTTTCTCACGTCCACTTTGAGTTGGCTGATGGCACGAAAAGCATGTTTCCATGATACGCTTGATAGGCCTCAGATTTTGTATTATGACAATCTCCTTTCTTCTCCTCTTGTTCCTCTCCTCTTGCATCCTCTCTTTTTCCAAGGTTCCATGTCACAATCCAATTGGGTCAACTTACGTGCTCAGTCGCGAGGCGTTTTGTAAATCCGCAAGGGAGGGATAAACTCAAAAAGATTCTTGTTTTGTTCTGGATTTTGCTTGTAGTTGGCTTGTTTCCCTTGTCTCCGGTACTTTGAGAAAGGGAAACTACTGTATTAGGGTATGGGTTAGGGAACTTGGGGGGCAAAGAGCAAATCTAGGTAGCTCGATGGCGTTCACAGTTGGGCTGCTACAGCTGAGCAATGCATATCGTCGAACATGACGCAAGACTGCGCTTCTCTTGACTTTGATGGTGACCTGATGTAGTGCTTGTCGTAGCTTAATGGCACTTAGGTCGAGTGCTTGGCACAGTGTCGGGCCTAGCAAATGCAGGTACGTACCGTTTCCTGGCCGCCGAGAAACCGGCGATCCTACCTCCACTTTTTTTCTTGCAACATCTCCCGAGGTTTGCTCGCGCATGCAACATTGACGCAAACTTGGAGACGTTGCAGGGCCCTTAGCAAGGAAATTCTCTTCTCCTGACCATCGCGCGCGCTATGACACACTGCGCTCAGGCCAGGGCATGTATTCCGAGTCGTTTCCGAAAGGGCCGATAGAAAGCAGTTTATGCAAGTGATCGCGGGTCGGCCGGCCTTGGAACGGCGTGCGTTCACGTTATCAGGGTCTTGCGCGATAGCAGGCTTTTCTCATTCGATATGACGAGAGATTTTGCGGGATGTCGTTATGTGTTGTCTCGGTGTACAGACATCGCTGCTTGCATCAACGCCCTTGCTTTGGAACTTTCCAGACAAAGACTACCTCGGTACCTGACTGAGATTAGAAATTGACGAAGAGCGCGATCAATAATCATACACAGCGATACAGGCACCGGCACATGTGTCAAATGCCAAATCAACGCTGCCGATATTGCTCACCGCCGCCAATACCAACGATAACGGTCTCGGAACGGTCATCCATCTATCTACGCCCGGGCGCGCTACCGGCGGCCATGATCCACGACTAAGCCGTTGCAAGGATAGCAATCTGGCATCTTACCTCTTCCGGCAAAGCTGCCTCGGCGAATGCGTCAAGGTCATCATGGTGCTGGCCGGAATTTATCTTTTGGCGAGTGCACGCGTTTGTTTTCAAGCGTCCGGTTCGCAATACCTTGATGGTCTGTCGGGCACACAAGCAAAACCACGTTGCGACTACGTTGTGCGCTGATTGACTGCGTCTTTTCTTTTTGAGTCGAGTCTTGTCGATTGTGCAGTGTCTTGTTGCGTTTAACAGGCTGAGGGTTTGGTCAGCTGGAGATTGGGAAGACGTGTTGTTGGCTGCAGCGATACACCGATCGAGTGCGTAAGCTGAGAAACGCCAACGACTGTACTTCAAGAAGGGAAGAGCATACAGTATCTGGAAGCGACCCGACACGTTTTGCAACTTTCCAACCTTCCATCCATATCGCGCAGCTTCAGAAATTTGGCAAACTTCTACCATGGAGTCATCATCCTACCAAGCCGACGCTCTCCCAGCCTCGCCGTTGCTTCGCCTTCCTTTCGAAATCCGTCTCATGATATACGAGTACCTGCTTCTACCCTCGACGACCCCCACGACTGGAAATGGAACGTCCGTCGCAAACTTGATCCCCGACTTCCACACATACCTTTCAGACGATACGAACAATGATGCTTGTACGTTAAGCGTACGGACCATGGATCCATGGCTAGGGTCACAAGGCCCGAAGACGTGGAGACGAAGGAGTACATACCACATCAGAACCGGTACGTTTACACACTTGGAGTAAACCTAGAAAGATAGTCTAGGATACTGCTTCCAAACTGCATCGTTGAATACATACTGACAACCCCAAAGGTCCTTTCCTAACAACCACAACACCAACAACCTACCGCGTCCTTCTCTCGCCCTACACATCGCACCTCCGCTACACCGTCCCCTCCCTCCTATCCCTAAACCAACAAATCCACGCCGAAGCCAGCAAAATCCTCTACTCAACCTACACCTTCGCCTTCCACACCAGCATCGAAGCCGCCGTCCCCTTTCTCTCCGACTTGACACCCAGAAGCCGAGCGTCCATACGCCATATCAGTGTAACAAAAAAGGCATTGCCATACAGCAAGGAATTCGACCGCGCAGAATGGGCAAGTCTGTGCGAATACCTCGCTACACCATCGTCTGCCTCCGACTATGATAGTTCCGAGGCAGTCCCCCCCATCTCCCTCCGCACCCTAAACCTCAACGTCATATCCGGCAAACCAGACCACGGCTGGGACGCCATCACCCCCATCACACCCTCTGATTTCGACACCATGCTACGCATGAAGAACGAGTGGCTCGGCGGTAATGGCGATTTCGGCGGCGTGGATCTAGAGTGGGTGGAGCAGGTCATGGCGATTAAAGGGTTGCAGGAGGTTAATGTCAAAGCGATGGTGGAGAGGTGTGCGAGTCCGGTTAGTGAAAAACAGGCGTTTTGGATTGCGTTTAGTAAGAGTGTTGATGAGGGGGGGTTTGGGGAGTGGGTTAGGGGGAGGATGCTGAGGTAGATACGGTGAGATGGGATGTGGATGATGAGGACGTTTAGGGTATGATTGGGATTGCGGAACAGAGTGAGTTCTTGGATTGATTTCAGAATGTATAGTTTGACCACCTCCAACACCTACCCTATCCCACTCTTCCCTCACATATATCCACCATCCATCTCCTCGTCCCATCATCAACAAACCACACAGGACACAGTGTATAGCTGGACGGTACACCACCCGCACACAAAAAACCTAGCGAACGCACGCCCAACGTAGTTCCGGCACGGGACTGGTTTCTAGCTCTGATCAAGAACCAGCTTTCTCGTCCCGCGGAGTAAAGGGCCTACTGGGGCACTGTCTCCATTGAATATAACAAAGAAGGCTGGTTGTTGGGCATGCGAGAAGCCTGGTGAGATTGGGGAAATGGATCGCTACCGTTGGTACTAAGCTTGCTGGGCTATTTCGTGATGCACATCCTGGTGGGTAAGGTGAGATGGCGGAGACGCTGGCTCGTTGGTCCTGCTGGGCGGTTGGTGTAAGGGATGTGTAAGTTCGGGTCTTACTGTGCTCAGATCGGGTTTCTTTTTGTTGATTTTGATGGCGAGGGCTAGGCGATGAAGGTGTAATAGTGGGTAACTAGAGAGGACGGTGTATGTCTTGAGAAAGAAGGTGCACTATATACAGATGAATATAGGGATAAGATAAAAGAACTGTGTTATTACTACTCTGCAACGCCACTAACTTTCTCACCCGTCTACTTCCCTTCTACACATACCCATCATTTCCACAGTCTCTCATCAAAACCCACACAGGATACATGGCCTAATGGTAAGGCGCCCGCACACAGTAGCTACACGCCGCCCAGCAACCTCTAGCTACCCTCTAGTTCGTTGCCGGGCGCCCGGCGAGCATAGCTACATGCTCCAAGCTTTTCCAGCTTTAAGCTTATTGACTCAGCTTCGCTGGGTGGCTGTGATGCGGGACATGCAAGTTCGAGTCTTGCTGTGTCCATCCGTCTTTACTTTTTTGTTTGGCAGTTTTGACGACGAGGGTTTGGCATATGGCGTGCATGGAGGAGGACGTGTGGAACTTCAAGACCACTGACAGCGCTGGTTCATATAATTCCACTCCATAGCGCTCATGACACCGTACCAGTGAGCCACAGCGCTCAGAACAATGAACACGTGAAACAGCTGATGTGATGCACCCCAGATGTCGTATCTTTTCGGTCTCCAAGATTCTGGGAAGTGAGTCTATTATACCAGTCAACGAAGGTTCGGTCTTGAGAAAATGGACGTATCGATGAACATGCTAGCCTTACCGCATAAAATCCAACTCCAATTAGTATCAAGATACCCTCGAGGTAGTAATAACGCAGGCCAGTCTGCTTATCAAGCTGATCATGGCCAAAGATGGATACGCCATGCAAGATCGGTGCAAACGCCGAAAAGCCCGTTGCGATGAATGTTGATAGGCGTAAGGTCTTCCATCTCGGGCCGTGAAGACTGGGGTTGATGACCGTGGTCGCCGTCAGTGTTCCAAGGGTAATGATCTGGAAGGGTTAGTTCAGCCATACAAAATTCCGTTCCCATCTCTGTTTCCCCCCAAACATACCATAGACCAATACAGTTTCTGCAACCCAGGTTCGCAGTAGAACCCAAAATAGATGCCAGGTATAAATGATCCTACAATCTGCCCGATGATAGCGACATAATCCGCCTTAACCCACAGACTCGCATACCCCTCTGAATGGCATATCAGCGTATGGTACGCTGCCGAAGTACCAAAGCAGACTACTGAGGCGGTAAGGAAGATGCGGAAAACGAGTTGATCGGTCCATGTTGCTTGGGAAAATCGCGTAGTGAAGTAGCGATCGAAAGAGTAACTAGCTAGCAGGACGAAGATGGCGGGGATGAGGTGTGTGTAAATGTTTACGGTTTCGTTGTGCAGTTGGAGTAGGCTGCGGAGGCAGAGGGGAATGGATTTTGTGACGGGTCGGTAGCCAGTAAGAATGAAGGAGTTGTGCGCGTACCAGGATGGCACCTCATGGCTATCCTGCAGTTTGATCGAGGTGTCAAATCGCGAGGGGTCATGCTTTGGTGAGTCTGTGGTGCCGCGCGTGGCCATGGCGCAAGTACTCAACGAATAACGGTGTTGTAGCGACAAGGAAAAAGACGTTGAAAAGAGAGGGGTTTGCGCGAAAATGAAATGAA